CGGAATGTGCGCACCCTGCTGCCAGCTCAACACCACCTGTGGAGGGGGCTCCGGCCTAGGGAGGTGCTAGGCTGCCCCCAGAGAGAGCCAGAGAAGCTCCTACTGCCTGCCAGACGCGCCACTGCGCCCACCCCCAGCTGAGAACAGCAGCGCCTCGGTAGCTGTTCCCCATGTGTTCTACGAATACACCACCAGGCTTGTTCCCATCAGTCTCTCCTCTGCTCATCTTGTCCTACCAGAAAGGGCTGCTGCTTGGAATGGACCCTTCTCTTCCGCATCTTCTCTGGCTCCTCCCAGGCAGGAGGGCTCTCCTTCCCTGGAAGGAGCCCTGCTGGACTGCCCCCTTCCCTCTCTGGCCCCTTGTCCTCTGTTTTTCCAATAAACTGGGGGACCTGCTTTCTGTGCTATGATGTCTTGCTTGCTCAGAGTGAGCCCATGTCCACTGACTGATGAGCATCCCAGCCCAGTGAGATGACCTGAGGACTGGGGTCGCTCTGGCCTGTCCTCAACCTGAATACCCACAGAACAACCTATCCCCAATAGTGCCATGCTCCCCTGGCCAGGCGATGCTGACTGTGCTCAGAGCACCTTCCCCTAAGTCACACCTGTCAGAGGTAGTCTGAGACTTGAGACTTGTTCCTCTGGCTGAAGGGAACCAGAGGAGGCCATGGAATCTTCTGAAGGCACGGTGTGTGTGTGTGTGTGTGTGTGTGTGTGTGTGTGTGTGTGTATCTGGCTTTAATCCCTTTCCCCCATACACACCTCCACCAACACCACGCACACATGCACCACAGCAGCAACCTCCGGAAGTGCCAACAGCCACCTCAGATGGCCAACCCGTATCAGTCTAGACCCCATACCACCCATTCCCACTACTGTCCATCAAACAATGGAGATGAGACCCTTGACACCACCCCTTGCCAACCCCTCCACCCCCCATACACACCCCTTCAGCACCCAGGACCACCTTCTAAAAAACTCTTAACTCCTTCCCAGCCACTTTGGCTCAGTAGATAGAGCATCAGCCTGCAGAATGAAGGGTCCCAGGTTTGATTCCGGCCAAGGACACATGTCCGGGTTATGGGCTCGATCCCCAGTGTGGGGTGTGCAGGAGGCAGCCAATCAATGATTCCCTCTCATCATTGATGTTTCTATCTCTCTCTCTCCCTCTCCCTTCCTCTCTGAAATCAATAAAAAAATATTTTTTAAAAAAAAACTCTTAACTCCTAAGAGGAGCTACTTCCCCCCACCATCTACTTGCTTTCTTGACTGCCCCACTGACTACCCTCATCCCCAGATCCATCAGAGTTTTAATCCCAAGGCCAAGGTGGCTCCTCTGCCCCTGCATGGCCTGACTGCTCCTTGCCCCTGCTCAGAAAGGGGCTAGGAGCTCCAGAGGGAAGCTGCTGAGAAGCCCCTAACCCTGCTCTGGAAGAACCAGGCATGGAATAGCCCTCCCTGGGCCCAGCCCTGCTCCTGTGGAGTAAATTTCCTTCTCACTGGCCCTCCTCTTCCCTCCCTTTGCCCAGACCTACCTCAGCCCCAGTGCTGACCAACTTCCCTTCAGGCCCTTACCTTTCTATCCATGTCCCCATGCTGTCCTAGGAGGACCCACCGCCTTCCCTCACTCCCTCCTGGAATCTCTAGGGCCCTCTTGGCTCCTCACCTGTCACCCTCTCTCCCTCCCAGAGTCTCAGGCCTCCCACTTCCTTGTTTGACAGGCCAGGCCTGAGCTCCTCCCAAGCAGCTCTCCTTCAGTTACCACCATCACTGGTGTCCTCTCCAGTTAAAATCATCCGACTGTGCTTCAGAGTCATGGTGACTCTCCTGCTGCCCTGACCTCGCTCCTCAGCCTCAGACCCATGCCTCCAGTTTGTACAGGGAAGCTGCACTTGACAGTCCTAGAGACCCTTCCACTGAACAGACCTCCAAGCTGAGCTCACTATTTCTCACCTTCTCCACCCGTCTTCTCCTACCTCCCCTGTCAAGATCCTCAACATAGCTGCCCACTTCTAAACCTATGATCTATGCCTATATCCTTGCTCTTAAATCTAATTAACTCCCAAGTGCTTGCTTTCTTTCTCTACCTCCTAAGTATCCTTCTAATCCGTCTCTTTCCTCTCTCCCTGCGGCTACCACCCGTGGTCCAGCCACCACCATCTTGGTTGAGTCCTGCTCTCCTCCCTTTCCAATCCACCTACACAGCAACCAGAGACTTTTACAAAACCCAAGTCTAACCTGCCAGGGGGTCTCCATTGCCCTCAGGATGAAGTCTGGGCCTTTGAACATAGCACATCAGTCCTAGCACATCAGAGCCTACCTGGCTCTGACTTATGTCTCAGTGCCTCTCACCACTTCCCATTGACCGCACCTTCCTCCCCTGCTCTGGCTCAGAGCCTTTGACACCAGAGCCTTTGAAAGGGTCTTTTTAGTTCTGACTTTTCTTATGTAATGGCTCTGAGTTCTGCTCTGGGATTGTAACACCCCCTTCCCAGGGGCTTAGGGAAGACACCATAAACACTGCCAGCCTTGGGAGGTCATCCAGATGCCACCTGGGAGAGCCCAGGGAGGCTCCATGCCTCAGGAGTGATGCACCTCCCTCCAGCCCCACCAGCTCAAGGGACCAGGCAAGACTAATGTTGCAGACTCTCCATCTGTTAGAGCCTCCTGTCCTGAATACCTGAGCCTCACTTCCTCAGCCACCTCTTCATCAAGGAAACATGTCATTTCAAAGAGGCCTGGGCCTTGGTATTAGGAGGAAAGAAAAGCACAGTTGGAAGAGTATTAACCAGAGAAAGCTGGTTACCTCCTGAAGGAAGTAATATTGAAGCTGCAGCCTAAAGCAAGACCAGGAGTTCATTTATTCAATCAGCAAATGATCACGCCATGCTTAATATGGACCAAGGACTGGCTCATATACATGAAGAAAATAGTCAAAGATGCCTATCCTCCATGAAGCTTACATTTTACAGCAAAAAGTATAAGGAGTTAGCCGGGAAGAAGAGATGTGTCCTAGACATGGGGAAATGCGTATGAAGAGATGGGGTTGGAGCATGAAAACATCAGGGACTCTAATAAGTTTCTGAGTCTGCTGGGGAAGGACGGGGACTGCTCACCAGTGCCCTCTAGAAGCTTAAAATGAGCCCTTCATTTCTACACTCTTCTCCACTGCCCCCTCCTACCCCAGCCCCAACTCGATCCCACCAAATCTTCCTTCATCCAAGGTCACTTCTCATTCCTACTTCCTTCCAGGCACTTTTCCCATCATTTTGAAGAGGTAGATGGTATGGGCCAATCAGTGAGGCCTTCCACGCTTCACAGAGAGACACTGCCTCCTCTCTGGAATGTTCCTGCCGATTCCTAAGGAATATGAGCTATTTAGACATCAGGTCCTTCTGTGCTGGCAGCTGAGCGAAGGCCAGTCTTGGTAGTGACAGCACGCAGAGTAACAGTCCTTCAGCGCCTGCCCTTGTTCTTTTCGTAGGCTAGTTGTCAACCCAAAATGTGGATAAACTAACTGAGGTTCAGAAGCCTGAAGAGGCCTGGCCACACACTCCTGGTGATCAAACCAGGACATGAAGCTAAGAGTCCAGACTTCTAGCCCCTGTATTTCTTTACCATCCCATTCTGCCCCCTGCTATTCAGAGCCTAGGAAATCTGTGCTGTTGTGATATCATAGTAATAGTAACAACAAGAATAAATAGCAATTTTTGAATATAAATTACGTGCCATGCTATACTCTAAACGTTTATTTGTATTGTCTCATGTGTCCTCCTGTGATTGTTATCTTTAGAAATGGCCCCATGTCTCCTCTCTCTGTCTATGTTGCTCCTCATTTCACAGGTAGAATATATTTCCCCCTCCCACCCCCCTCCCTGGAATCTGGGCTGGCTCTGTAATAGCTTTGACCAATAGACTGTGGTGAAGGTGACATTCCGGGGCTCCTTCCTGGGTATGCTCTCTCTGGCCTAAGGGTAGGGGCTGCTCCTTATAGCTGCAGCTCCTGTACTTACAGAATTTACTCCCACGATTATAGAAAGGATAAATGGCTGAACCAGCATTCAAACATATCTTTTTATTAACAAAATGCTTTTAAATGCATAATCTCACTTAAGGAGCCAGAAGGGACCTTAGGAATATGATCCAACCGCCTTCATTCTACAGACAAAGGAAACTGAAGCTCGGAAGGTGGAAGCAATTTGCCCAAAGTCACACATTTGGGAAATGGCAGAGTCAGGACTGTGAATTGGAAGCACAGTTCTCCTGATTCTCCCCCATACTGCTTGTCTCACATGCCTTCCTTCCATTCTTACCTCCACGTGTTTCCTCATGGACTTCCCCCCTCCAGGAATGCCCCTGGGGCAAAATCTCCTTGCTGAGAACCCCTTGGGCACATTTGACCATTCCTAGAGGCATCTTGGCACCAGGTGGGTAGAGGCCAGGGATACTGCTCAACCTCCTTATGGTGCACAGGGCAGCCCCACCGCACAGAATTCTCCAGCCCAAGATGTCAATAGGGTTGACATTGAGAAAGCTTGGTTTAGAGCAGCAGTTCTCAACCTGTGAGTCGCGACCCCTTTGGGGGTCGAACGACCCTTTCACAGGGGTCGCCTAAATACATCCTGCATATCAGATATTTACATTACGATTTATAACAGTAGCAACATTACAGTTATGAAGTAGCAACGAAAATAATTTTATGGTTGGGGGGTCACCACAACATAAGGAACTGTAGTAAAGGGTCGCAGCATTAGGAAGGTTGAGAACCACTGGTCTAGAGAAACCATGACCGCATAGATCCCTGCCTCCCTCCGTCTTCTGCTTTCCCAAGGCTTGCGTTGCTCAAGCCAGAAGGGCAGCGTGTACTGCAATCATTTTCAACTGCTGAAAAAATACCTGACGGGATGGAGAGGCCCTGAGGAAACCTCCGGCAGGGAGCACCTCTCACAGGAGGGCCCTGGCGTTTTCAAGACTCTGAGGAACCAGGTTTGATTCGCTACAATAAGTTTATTGGAAACACAGAGTGAAACAAGGACAAACGAAGTTGCTGGCAGTTGAGTCACTGGCTTTTTAGAAGCTCCTGCAGGCAGCCCTCACAGCGTCATGGGAAACCACCACCCGCGTTCCCCAGCTCTGTTCCGCAGGTACAAGCACAGGGAGATTCTGGGGGCCGCTCCTCCAAGCTTGGGTAAGGGGTCAAGCAGGACCAATGAATCCAGAAAAAAACAGAAAGCAGAGGAAAGGATGAATCCTCAGGAAAGCAAACTGACTACTGAGAAAGGCGACAGAAAGAGACCAAGGTGCTGCCCCAGCCTCCCCGGGCCCAGGGCGCCTGGGAATGGCGCACAGAGGGAGCGGGTCGGGAGGACACGCAGCCTGTGCACATCTGGGGACTGGTTCTTGGGAGGCCAGCGCTGGCGATGCGTGGGGCAGCGGGAGGGGCGTTCCGGGTTCTCGAGGTCCTGGCTGGGCGGAGGGTGCGGGTGATGCGCGCTGGCAGAGGCTGCAGCCTCCTAGCACCTGTTGCAGCCCGAGCTGCAGGAGTTGGCGGTGCCCACCACCACGTTGCCGCAGCAGGGGGCGTTACACACGCTGGTGGTGACAGCAGGGGCAGTACCGCGTGCGCAGAGATCGCCACAGACGACGCCACCGCGGGAGCTGCTGACGCCTGAATGAGGGGAGAACAGGCCCAGGTCTATCAGGCACTGCCACAGACAGGCAGCTTTGGGGCAAGCGAAAATGCCCCCTCCCAAAGGCCTCGGACCACCCCCGCGGGAGAAGGGTAAGGGCTTGAGCTACTTACAGACATTCACGGAGCCGACGCCCTCACACAGCCTATTGGGAAAAGAAAAGAGAGAGGTCAGTGCCGTGGCAACGCCGCCTGGCGGATGCAGCCAGCGTGAAAGGTGAGGCCCGTGGCCCTCCTTCTGGGGCTAATCCAGAAGCCAGGTGGGCCACGGGGCGTCGGGGAGGTGGGGGTGGCGGGGAGGGGGGCAGGCGCTTCACCAACATGTGGCTTCTGGAGACAGAATGCCTGGTGTGCCTGGCTCTCCACCCACCGTTAGCTGAGAACCTCCGATTTACCCTCCCTCCGCCTACCTCCTCATGAAGACCATCTACTGCTAGGTCTGTAGTGAGGATGAAATCAAATGATACATGTGAGTGCTTAGTGCCTGCCACTCAGACAGAGCTTCAGAAATGTTCACTGCTACCATTCCTATTGGTTCTGGTTGGCTTGTAAATGCATTTGAGGCCTAACCGGTTTGGCTCAGTGGTGGGAGCGTTGGCCCATGGACTAAAGGGTCCGGGGGTTTGATTCCTGTCAAGGGTGCATACATCAGTTGCAGGCTTGATCCCTGACCTCAGTCGGGGAGCATGTGGGGGACAACCAATCGATGTGTCTCTCTCACATCGATGTTTCTCTCCCTCCCTCCCTCCCTCCCTTGCTTCTACTCTCTCTAAAAAAATCAATGGAAAAAATATCCTCAGGTGAGGATAAATAAATAAATAAATGCATTTGAGGAGCAGCAGGTGTAACTTCTTAAATCTGGTCTGATTGGTATCGCTAGAATGCGGCTTCAGGAGGGCAGAAGTTTTGGGGGGGGTTGTTTTTGTTGTTTTGCTTGTTTTTTAAATAATTTTATTGATTTCAGAGAGGAAGGGAGAGGGAGAGAGATAGAAATATCAATGATGAGAGAGAATCATTGATTGGCTGCCTCATTCATGCCCCCTACTCGGGATTGAGCCTGCAACCTGGGCATGTGCCCTTGACCTGAATCGAACTCGGGACCCTTCAGTCCACAGGTTGACACTCTATCCACCGAGCCAAACCAGCTAGGGCAAGGGCAGAAGTTTTTGTCTGTTCTTTTTCCCATTGCAGAACCAACAGTGCCTAAAACAATGCCTAGCTCAATAAAGAACTGTTGCATTGCATGAATAAATGGGATTTTAGAACCTACTTGGGACAGGCTCAGAGACCATCTACACCAAATGCCTCATTTGACATATAGAGAAACTGAGACCCAAAGACAGAAAATAACCAATGACAGAGGCAGGGCTATCACTTAGGCCATCTAACTCAGCCTGCTGTCTCCTAAGGGGGACACATGGGAGTCCCTGTGAGAGCACAGTGCCAAAGGGTTGTCAAAATTAGCTTGAGGTGTGAGGAGAATCCACAGTAATTCACTGTCTAATCACTCATACCCAGGTTTCGTAGGGAACCCACACCAAAGCTTCTGAATTCACTCCCAGAGCCCCATGTGGCAGACAGGTGGGCCACTCCGTTTCCAGGGCCATGTCCACATGTCTCTCCAACTTCCAAACTCGGTCTTGGAAAACTCTTCCTCCCAGAATTCTTCATTAATGAAACTCCCCAGGCCCAGCAAGCCCTGGTGCCTCTGAGCTCTCCAATGCAATTACTTGTGTACGTTATGAGTCTCTCCAATTGATCATGTTGATTCCAGCTACCAAACTTGTGTCCCGATCGCCCCAATACACAGGGTGCCCCTAGATGTTCCCTCTGCATCCTCACACTCCCCTGTTGTCTGCCCAGGGCCAGGGCCTGGTTGTATACAGAAGAAGAAAGCTCAGGGTGTAAGCACCTGACCAACCTGGGCAAGAACCTAAGGGCAACATTCCGGGAAAGTTCTCCTCATAACTGCCCTCCAGCCAGCAGAAGGCAAATGACCAATGAGTCTGCTTGCACCCCGCACCTGGTCCCCAAAGCAATCCATAAACAAAAATGTCCAGAGTGTGACACAGCTGCCTCAAAGGACAGACCCTGCTGTCAAGTCCTACCTGCTGTGATGGAAGACCACTTAGGGGTACTAACTGCTGTTAGAATATCTAAGTGTGAGCTAATAAAAATCCCCTACTGAAGTTGTCCTATGGGGTAAATATGAACTCCCAAAGCTGAGGCCTTAGCTGGGCTTGAAAAGACAGCTGGAATGCTGAGTGGCATGTGTAGGGCCCAGGAGAGCAGAAGCACTATGAAGGGAAGTAAACCCCAAGCCCAGGCTGGGCTTCTCAGGAACAGCAATTGCAACAGCCAGACCTGCCCTGCCCTGACTGAGGTGCAGATTTGTAAAAGGAGCCACTTCCGGTCAGCACCAGGTGGGCATGAGAAACTGAAATGGGGCTAGAGAAGCATACTCAAAGAACTTATTCAAATTACCTGTCCAGTTGCATGATCAGGATATTTGGAAACAAGAGAGGACTGATGCCACGCCTGTGAGGGACTGGGCGAGCTGAGAGCCCAGGCAAGGCTGGGAGAGATTGGTTATGATACCCACCTCTGCTCCTCGCCCTCCAGCAGGCGCCTGTAGGTGGCGATCTCGATGTCCAGGCCCAGCTTGGAGTTCATCACCTCCTGGTACTCCTTGAGCAGGCAGGCCATGTCCTGCTTGGCCTTCTGCAGGGCGGCCTCCAGCTCGGCCAGCTTGCAGCGGGCATCACTGATGGCTGTCTCACCCTGCTGCTCTGATTGCTTCACAGCAGTCTCCAGCTTGGTGTTCTGGGGACCCAGAAGAGGACAAAACAGGTTATGGTCCCCAGGTCTCTCTGTCCATTTCCTGGATATGGCCAATCACTCATACCCAGCTGGGCACGCTCCCAAAATAGGCACCTCACCTCATGACCTGGGTCTCACTAAGTAACCACACCCATGACTCTAGTCATGCAAATGGGCTGGAGAATGAATGTTGAAGTCCACATGGCCTGTGGAAGCCAGGCCAGGCCCTCAGCCTCTCAGATGCCCCGTACCTGGCACTTGGCATTCTCAACCTCAGCGGTCAGCCTCTGGATCATGCGGTTCAGCTCATTGATCTCCTCCTTGGTGCGGCGCAGGGTCTCCCCGTGACGGATCACTGTGGCCTTCATCTCCTCGCACTAGGGGGAAGCAGAGACTCAGGATGGGACCTGCCACCCATTCAGGTCACCACAGATGACAGTGCAGGTTGTACAGTGCTCAGCCTGAGCAACCACCCATGGCAGCCCTGGCCCCTCAACCTGAGAGCTGTCTGGCCTCTGTTATCATATTTAGGATCAGAATCCCCAGATAAAAGCAGTCTTTTCTAATATATACCTCACATCCCTCCCACTGCCATGTCTAGGAGGCAGGTGTCCTGGGCCACTCACCTTGCTGCGGTACCAGGACTCGGCCTCGGCCCGGCTGCGGCTGGCGATGTCGTCATACTGAGCCTTGATCTCAGCAATGATGCAGTCTAGGTTCAGGTCCCGGCTGTTGTCCATTTTGACAACAACTGAGGTGTCTGAGATGTGGGCGTGGAGGACACGGATCTCCTGTGGGTATGGGAGGAGGAAGGATCTTGTTTATGCCAGCGACTCCACCACCATAGCCTCCACCCAATCATCTCAGCCCTCCCTGGTCTCCAACCCCCACCTCCTCATGGATGGCAGACTGATGCCCGAATCCCTGTCCACCTTAGGTTCCAGGCCAAAGCTCTCTCCTCCAGGTTAGCTGCCAGTTTCTTGCCTGGACCACAAGCCCTCACCTCCTCATACAGTCGCCGCAGGAAGTCAATCTCCTCGGTCAGGGCCTCTGCGTTGGCCTCCAGATCTGACTTGCGGAGGTAGGCGCAGTCCACATCCTGGAAAGGTTGTCAGTCTTTGAGCTCAGAGGACCCATGGTGATTGTCACCCTAATGCCCTCTTCTCAGGCATTCACGGAGGCCGGGTGGAGGGGGAAGGACTCCCAGGGTTCCCATTCCCATCCCATCTCCATACCTTCTCAACTTCCTGGGATGGGCCTCACAACCTCCTCCCCTTCTGAGAACAAAACCCTTTGTGTCATGGAGATGGGCCACCAGCCTTTCCCCCTCTCACTTGATGTAGTTTACCTTCACATTTCTCCTTTTTTACTCACCCTGTTTCAGGACGCCTGCCCAGACTGACTCCCCACTAAGACATCTTGGCCCCTCCCTGTCACCCAGCACTCCTCCCAGACTCTACCTGGCCACTCCAGGTTCTGTTCCATCCTCCCCCTCCTTTTATTCAGACATCACACAGCTCTAGACAGAACATTGTCCCTCAACAGAGACTGAAGATGCCAGGCTTATGGGACCCAAGCCACAGACCACACCTCTGAAGCCAAGCAGGACATCCAGAGGTCAACCCGGCCATCCCCGTGCCCCAGGACACAGTGGATATTCCAAGGGTATTGACCTTTGTCAAAGCTCTGGATGTTCCTTCCATGACCTGATCTCTGAGAGTTCCCCATGTGATTTGACAAGGTCACTGCACCCCACACTGAGCTTGAGACCCTCAGGGTCTCCCCAAGAAGAGTCTGTCATTCTAGGATCCCTCATGTCTGTGCTCCCCAATACCACATGACTCACCTTCTTCAGAGCCACAAACTCATTCTCAGCTGTTGCTCTCAGAGAAACTTCCTCCTCATACCTGAGGCAGAAGAGGCAGAGAGGGAGGTCACGGAAGGGCAGGTCTCCCATGAACCCCTCCCACTTCATACCAGGGCAGGGGCCAATGTTAGGAACCTCCCACCACAGCTGGACCCTGGCAGCCCTGTTATATCCTTTTGATTGGATTTAGGATATCACTGCCTTGAATTGAGGGGTCCCTGGGGCCAATCTTCTGGGACCTCATAGCTGCTCTGAGGCAAATAAGGCCTCAGCACCAGCCCTATGCTGGGCATGGCCAGCATCCCCTCTGGGGCACAGCAGCCCAGCCACCCCTCACTGAGTGTGCATCCTTGCACAGGAGTGGGGTCTGTGAGTTCCAGAGGCCATCAGCACTCAGAGCCCTGAGCTGTGGGACACCCAGGGCCCCAGGACATGTAGGGCTCATATCACATCCATGGGCCATGTGCTATAGGTGGGAGGTCAGGAGGAGAAGGCCTGGAAGATGCCAGAAGCCTTCTCCCCACAGAGCACAGGCAACAGCTGCTGGGTAGTCAGACTCCAAGAAAAGAAGGCTAACGCAGGGGAGAGATGTCCTGGGGGAGTCACAGCCCTACTCTCAGGCAGGCGTCTGGGCAACAACTGCACAGGTGAAAAGATCCTACTACATCCTGCCACCCTGGCCTGCATGGCTGCTCACCCTGTTGGAAATTCTTCTCATGCCTAATCCAATAGTCTTTAACCTAAGTCCTTCCCTGTGTCCAACGTCAAAGCCAGCCACACTCACTTCTTCTTGTAGCCCTCCATCACCTCCTGCACGTGGTTCAGCTCTGAGGCCAGCCTCCCGCTGTCGGCCTCCACACACTCGGCCTCGCGCCTCAGCGTCTCGATGTAGCCCTCAAACAGCGGCTCCAGGTTGCTCTCGCAGCACTTGCGGTTCTGGTAGTACTGCCACTTGGTCTCCAGCAGCTTGTTCTGCTGCTCCAGGAAGCGCACCTACCATTCAGGGTAGAGAAGAAGGGTCAGATGGCTCTTGGTGCCCCAAAGCCCACTTGGAGGGTTGCTTTAAGGTAAACTTCCAAATCTGCAGCTCAGCAGAAATTAGAGGTGGACAGTGGTAGACAAATCAACTCGGGGAATTCCTGATTATGATCTATATCTGGATTTTTCGACTTAGGGATGGGAGCAAGGGGCTGGGAAAGGTCTGTCCCTTCTCAGGTGAACTGAGTTATCCCGACCTGATGAGTCCAAGTAGCATGTAGTCAGGCTCCAGGTGGAGGGCTCACCCCCTCACCTTGAAGCTAGAAGAGGTGCCCTCTTAGGCAGAGTTCCAAGATTCAGATCCCAGCCTGGGGTGTGTGGTGACAGGTAACAGGGAGATGATGTCACAAGCCATCTAGAGGAGAGCTCGGCTACCCTGGCCCCTGGCCCCCTTCACTGGGTGGCCAATCCACCTTATGTCTCAGAGGGAACCAGTCCTCAGGTGGGGCCTGGAACCTCTGTAACTTCAGAAGCAGTTGCCATTTCCTCTTCAATGTCCTGAACTCTAGTTGTGCCTCCGAACGGCCAGGTCACACCTCTCTTCCATGAGCTCTGCCTATTTGAACTCCCAGCTGCGTCTTCTGGGTCTTGTGTGAGTGCCTGTTCTTGTCTGTGTGTCTGCCCCTCTCATCAGAGTGGGGAACTCAGGCCGTCCGAGCTCTTTCTGCCCCTGACTCCCCTCTCAGTGCCCAGACTGAGTCCTGTACATGGGTGGAGCTTAGGAAGGTGTGTTCAAGGACACCCACCTTGTCAATGAAGGCAGCAAACCTACTGTTAAGACACTTGATCTGCTCCTTCTCCTCATGCTTCACGCACTTCGCATTGGGGTCGATCTCCAGGTTGAGGGGCGTGAGGAGGCTCTCATTGACGGACACGGTGGTGATGCAGGGCGGGCTGGGCCCGCACACGCCGCCTGAGCGGTATCCGAAGCTGCGTCCACAGGAGCCAGAGCGGAAGGTGCCGCAGACGCTCTGGCTGCCAAAGCCCCCTGTGAGGCCGCGGTAGCAGGAGACCCCGCGGTAGGGGGCGGCGGTGATGCAGCAGCGGCCGGGCCGGGGCCCGCAGGCGGAGGCACAACTGAAGGTGCCTCCAGCACAGTAAGATCCACAAGTCATGGTGTTTCTTTGGGACACGGAGGCTCTGAGGAGGGAGAGGTCCTAGTGGAGGGTATAATGGACAAGGTGTTTACGTCTCGGACATCTTTGGGCCTTTTATATATGTGGGGAGCCTGGTGCGTCCATGGGTTAGGAGCAATTAGCCGCCTTTTATGGGCTTGGGTTGCTTAGCTGCTGTGTTCTCCCTTAATGTACTTAATTGGGTTCCAAATGCGGCCAGATGTTTATGGCCTTTTACCCTAAACTGCACAATTTTTATCTTCAAAGAGCCAGCTCACATCTTCCACGCCCACCCCAACCTCCCTCTATACAGCTGTGGAGACTCAGGAACTGGAGGATGAGGGAGCAGTGACTCAGGTTGGAGTGGAGGGGAAAGGCGGGGCTGCTGCTCCTCCAGTACCATGCCAACTGATGACGTCAGCGCCGCTGTCCGTGGTGCTGGTTGGACCGGCCCTGAAACACTGGGAGAGTGTGAGATCCACCCGTGATATGGAACTTGGGGTGCGCTTGGTGATTTCCCTCACACTGATGACCTCGTTCTGCATTGCCAAAGCTCCACACTTGCACAATCTCTCAATTATCCCTACACCTATCCAACACTCCCACACTGTTCCCAAATCCCTCACATCAATCAACATATTTCACCCCCTAAACACACACACGCGCACACGCACACGCACACGCATACACACACACACTATGCACTCACATGCTGGCCTTCCCACCCACAATCTCACACACACTCACATGGTCGTGTGCACTCTCATCTACCCTCTAGCCCCCTTACACACTGACCAGACCCTAAGCCAACTTATTAGACCTTCTTGGCCCGCCCATGCTGAGGGAGGCATCCCCTCCCTCAGAGTCTTCCATGAGTCCTAAGGGGACACACACTGGCTCTCTGGCCTCAGGAATGTCCAATCATTTCCAACAAGCTCCCAAGCAAGGATAGTGTGCCTGGGTTTCACCTGAAGCCTCTGTGTTTCCTCCAGGGCTCAGAAGGTCTAAGGTGGACACCACTGTTATGCGTCTACATGGCATTTGGCTCAGATATAATTAGATCTAGATAGAGCCATATGAAGAGAGCATCCAGCCCCCTGCCATTCCCCCTGAGTCTGTGCTGCTTTCCATGTTATGCCAACCCTGCCACCTCATTCCCTTTATGGCAGTTTGTCAGCAGCCTTGGAAGAGGTCACAACAAATCCATATTGGTGTGTGCTGTCCATCCAGTGTGGATGGTGTGGGCCTTCAACCCAAAAGGTCTGGGTGATCTGGGGCTAGGCACTTCACTCCTCTGGGAAATGGAGTACGCCTTTTCCCTCCTAGTGTTGCCTTGGGGAATTACAGAGATGTGCACATGCTCAGTAAACTCCAAAGCACAATGCAGATGTTCTTTATTGCAATCATTAAGAAGAAGGAGGTACCCTGGCTGGTGTAGCTCAGTTGGTTGGAGCACCGTCCTGTACACCAAGAGGTGGTGTGTTGATCGATCTCTCTCTCCCTCTCTTTCTCTCTCTCTCTCTCTCTCTCTCTCTCTCTCTCTCTCTCTCATCAATAAAATTCTTTTTTAAAAAAAGAAGAAGCAGTAGGCTCTGGGGCAGCATTTTTCTCAGAGTTCACATTGTGATTCACTCATGGAAGCAACCAGAATTTTAATTAAATTAGAACAAAATCAAATAGAGTGAAATAAAATAGAAAAAATCAGAGTGCATCATATATAGCAAGAATAACATTTCATGACCTTTTTGTTTCAATTGTATGTGGTGTGTATATATGTATGTATTTTGTCACTATGTAAAATCATTTCTTAATATGATTGAAACTAAAAAGTTTAAATACCTAGCATATCAGTTAAGAACACAGGCCCAGTTTCCAAAATGCCTACTTTCAAAGTCCAGCTCTGTGACTTTCCTGCAATTACTTAACCTCTCTGTATCTCATTTTATGATTTATAAAATGAAGATAATAGAACCCACCTCATAAAGTTGTAAGTATTAAAAGAATTAACCCATGTAAAGCACTTAGAACAGAGCCTGACACACTCTAAGAATTTAGTCATATTGCCGAAACCGGTTTGGCTCAGTGGATAGAGCGTCGGCCTGCGGACTGGGGGGTCCCGGGTTCGATTCCGGTCGAGGGCATGTACCTGGGTTGCGGGCGCATCCCCAGTGGGGAGTGTGCAGGAGGCAGCTGATCGGTGTTTCTCTCTCATCGATTTTTCTAACTCTCTATCTCTCTCCCTTCCTCTCTGTAAAAAATCAATAAAATATATTTAAAAAAAAAAGAATTCAGTCATATTAGTAGAGGTTGTTGCTGCTGCAGCAGTAGTTATAGTGACAGGTTTGATGGGGAAGTAGAGATATATGTTATTGATGTTATTGTTGCTGCTGCTACCATGGATATAGCAACAGGTGTGATGGAATATACCTGCTCACATATGTAAAATTCTCACTAATGTTGACTATCTTAAAGAACTAGCAGAAGGATTAAATTAAATAATGCATGGACAATGTTTAACCCAGTACCTGGCACACGGGAAGTGCTCAATAAGTGTTATCTACTGTTACTCTACCATGGGGATCAATCCAAGGGGCAGGGAGGACCTGAGACCTTTGGCCATGGTTACTTTCTTTACCCTGTAAAAGAACCCCAAATCAAATGTCCCTTCTTCAATCCCCACTATAGCCCAGCTGCCCCAGGGAAGGCTCCATGACAATCTCTCTTATTAGGCAAAGGGAATATGTCACCAATCCTTGGGAAATCACACTACTGGATGAGAAGAGAATCTTGGACATACCAAAAAGTCTGTTATTTGTGAATAATTCATAAATGTATATTTCTTATTTAGCCTTAATAGACCATTTAAAAATCCTAATGATTTCTGAAACTAATATGATAATGCAAACCATAAATCAATGGTATGTGCACTGGTCTTGCATTTTACCTAATCCTGAAACCTCCTGATTGGGCAGTAGCCCAGGGTTACCATGGGTTCAAGGGTGAGAGATATGACATTGATGACCTGTACACGTGTAATGGAATGCCAAAGAGAGCAAGGGAAGTTAAGAATTCACTGCAGCTGGACAGTTGGAAGTTAGAGTTCAGAAAGAACATCCCAGAAGGAGGGCAGGTAGTCATGGTTTCCTCAAGGAGCTTCCATTGTATCTCCCATTTGGGGATGCTTTATATAAAAGAGAACACTCTTTATTCTGGAGTCGTCATCATGCTTATGGAGATAGGGTGAACCAAAAGACCTTCAGATCTGGAACTCAGAACCTCCTCTTTTAGCCTAAATGGATCTTTTTTCAAGGGATGCCTGGGAAGAAAGGGAAAATTAGGTGGTTTTAATGTTAGGACGTTTTTGTCAGTTCATTCTGTTCCTGTGGAGAATGTTGAGGCCGATTCCCCAAGATGGATGATGGATTCAACAAGATAACATCTTGTTGGGGGATTCGATGATTCTGTGATTGATATGTCCCTGCCATAACCTGGACCCTGCCTTAATTTTGGAGGGAAGAAGGCACTAAGAGAAGGAAGGAGACATGGATTCTGGAGCTCCTCACCTGACAGCGAAGACAGACCCCGATTTATGAGAAAGGTCAGAAGTCTGAAGAGGGCTGCTTTTGAGATGTACCATCAGATGCTCAGGAAAGCAACCTACCAACAGTGCCCATTCTGGGGCAATGTGGACTGCAGCTGGTCTGATGGGAAAGGCAAGAACGTCTCCCTGGAAAGAGTGAGAACAGGCTTCAGTAAAGAGGCAGGCAGGATATGTTTACATGGAGCTATTTCAGAGAGGGGGCAGACAGTAGAGATACCTGAGGGCCCTTGCAGGAATGAATCATGAGGTGCTGTGGTGGTGAAGAGCCAGCTGAGACAGAGACCTAGGAAGTAGGGCCAGTATCGTCTCTGGGATTCTGTTCCATGGCTGCAGGCTGGGAGGCAGCCTGTGGTCTCTACATTTGAGGATACCAAAGCATCTGCACACTAGGCCTGTAGGTATCCAAGAGGCCACACCTTCTATAACCTTGCAGCTCATACTCTCTGTTCACAGAAAGAAGGTTCAGGCCAGGTTCCAGGGAGAGAAAATGAGGGGTGCAGGAGTGGGTGTGTACACAGCACCTGAGCTGCTAATGAGAGAATTGACCTCAGGCCAACCACCAGGAAGGGCGGTTGGGTTAATGAGTTAAGGAGAGGCTCAAGTCAGAGCCCTGCCTCCTCAGTCAAGACAGCTGGGACAGTGGCCAATTATACGTGAGAGAACAGGGGGCCAAAGGCCCCCGTGGGGATCCTGGAGGAAGTGAAGCTTGACTCAGGAGTTCTGCCCTTGGTGAGGTCTGTCCCATTAACCAGGCTAAGCCCCTGAACATTCCCCAGCCCATGTCCCTGCCTTGTGAAGATTCGATGTTATAAAGCTGGAGCTGAGGTTGCCCACCTCTTTAGGGACACCTACACCTTGCCCTCAGTGCCGTGCCCTTCCCCCATCAACCTCCTCTTCCTCTGCTCTTCCAAATTTGGAATGTCCCCTCTCCGTTTCTCCTGGGTTTTCCCCATTGTACCTGCACTGTCCTCCACTTCCCTCTTCTTCCCTCTCTCTACCCAAATCTCCCTCCCTACCATCCTCCTCGTCCCCCAGCCAGTCTTTGTTCTTCGTTCTAGTGGCCCTGCAGAGTAAAGTTAAAACCAGGCATCTCGTCTCTCTTTTTTTCCTATAAATCTACTTCTTTCCTTCCCCAACACTACCACACTACCCTAAGGCCTTCAGGATTCTTGCCCTCATTGACTGGTTTTCCTTACCACTCTCATCATCGCTCAGGTTAAGGCTTTGCTTCACCCCTCCTTCAAGCCCCAGCCAGGAACGTGTCCCCACCCCACCCCCTACACCAGGAGTGACCGCCCTCTGGTCTGCTTCATCTGGTCCCCAGCCCATCTTACCAGAAAGCTTTATACAATTAACCACCAAGCTTTGGTGGCTCCATTACTCAGCTCTTAACATGCAGCTGGTATTCATTTCATTCATTCAACAAATATTTATTGAGCACCTACTATGTGTCAAGCTCTTGAAATAATATCCATGAACCAAATATTTGTACCCCTTGGTGTGCTGCAGGGTTTGCATTTTTGTTCATGATCTGGGTATGTATCCAGCTTTTGTCTTAAAAGTGGAAACTCTCCAGGAACAAAGATGAGCACTCCTCCATCCTCTGGTCCTAAACCCTGAGAACACTCTGAAAGGCCCAGAAGAGGGCACTGGAGGAAGGGGATTACTGGGTGTGTGTGTGTGTTAATGTGTTACATATAAACACCACCTACTGTGTGATACTTTTAATAAAGGCGGATGGTGGGTAGGTAGAAGTGCAATGAGATAAACTCATCCTTTCATTGGGATCAAACACACCAGGCTCTGAGTGCCAGCTCTGCCACTAACCACACTGCTTGAACCAGTCTCTTAACCTCACTAGGCCTCAGTGAACTTCACTGTAAAACTAGAATAATAACTCCTGCCTCAGAGGATTATTGTGAAAATTGTGCTCTCACTGTAGTATCTAGTATGAAGCAAGATGAACAACAAGAGATGTTATTATCTTTTGGGTTTGAAAGGGTATTCATAAAATAGTTTCTATAGCAAGTATATACTACTTGCATAGTTTTAAAAAATGCCCAATGCTCTAGAAAGACTCTTGCACAATCATGCTTGAAGACAGGAGAAAGAATGTCCATGGCAGCTCTGTTCATAAGACAAGCTCTGGAAACAACCATGAGGCCATCAGGGTAGAAAGATGAGTAAACTGAGTACAATCCACAGGGGAATGAACAGTATGAAGCTACAGGAAGCAACATTGAACAAAAAAAAACAGACACAAAAGAATATACACAATATGATCCCATTTATATGATGTTTAAAAGCTGGAAAAGTAAGTAATATAAGGTTTAGCACTAAAACTGTAAAGAAACACAAAGGAATGATTTGACACAAAATCCCACAGAGGAACCATCCCCGGGCCAGGAAGGAAGGGGGTACAGTGAGGCTCATAGGGAGCTCCGAAGTTACATGTCTGTTCTCATTCTCCCAATAATGCTAAGCACACCATCTATAGATTCGTGTGTGTGTGTGTGTGTGTGTGTGTGTGTGTGTGTGACATATTTCACAATAAAAACCATTTTAACTTTCATAAAGCTCACATTGCCAGAGCCAAGGCCATAGAATGGTTTTGCCAACCCTCCCCCCCGCACCCCTCACCCCAATAAAACTTTTTCATTCAAAGAAAACATACAGGTTAAATGTCCTTTTAGGTCCTCAAAAATTAGCCACAACTAGTAATGCCCGAAGTTTCATGAAATGGTGTCACATTTGAATTTTTTTCTATCTGGTTTCAAATTGTTTCTTGCTTTTTTAAAATTGCTTGGCAAGGGCCAGCCCTTAGTAATTAGCCCGTGTTTATGCATGTCGCTTTTATGAGGAGTTATACTGGTAGAAAAGGTAAAGTGAGTGTGCCGTGCACTTTGACTCACTGTGCTTCTCCTCAGGACACCCGGCCAGCCGGCTTGCTGGGAGCACCACTGCTCAACTGTGGGCAGTGCCCAGGGTTGCGGATAAAGGGCCTCAAAAGTGCTGGCCAGCTCCCCACACACATAAAGTGCCACACCCTCCTCTGGGATGACCAGATGGCCGACACAGTCTGTGACCCCGTGGCAGTCCTGTCACAAGATCCCACTCCTGAATGTTTTGCATGGAGCCCTACGCCTGACAAACCCTATTCTCTTCTTTTCTCCTTCTTGCTTCTCTTTTTCCCATTAACCGCCCCACCCCCTCTTCCTTTCCCTTAAGCTACTTTGCCTACCTTTGCCCCAAAGGCACAGCAGCTAGGGAGCTGCCAGCCAAGTCATTTCGCTTCTCTTTTCTTCCCTTCTACTTATGCAAATCTCTATACTTTATGAGTTAATTTTTCTAGACCTGCTCTATTGGAGTGGGGTGCTTCTTGGATAAGTAGAATACACTTCAATCTATCGAGGTTACTTACAATACACCGTAAGTACTAGTAGACGAATAATTAGAACGGCCACTTTCCACCCCCTCCCTTCAATTATCAGGCCTAGGATCCTGCAGGTCCAGCCCATAGGCCCCAGCCTCACATTGCCCTTGTGCCGCACTCACACTCCATTGTCCCCTCCAGTTTGTTTGTTTGTTGTTGTTGATCCTCACCCAAGGATATTTTTCCATTGATTTTTAGAGAGAGTGTAAGAGAGAGGGAGAGACAGAGAGAAATATTAATGTGAGAGAAACACATTGATTGGTTGACACTTACACAAGCCCTGGCCATGGCCTGGATGGGGGAAGAGCCTGAAACTGAGGTAGATGCCCTTGACCAGAACCAAACCCAGAACCCTTCAGTCCACAGGCTGATGCTCTATCCACTGAGCCACCCAGCTAAGGCATCTCCTCCTGTTTTTAACCATCCCAATCCCCTCTGACTGCCCATTATCCTTAGACTTACTTTCCAACCCTAAATCCACAGGTATCCCCTCCTAAACAACTCTCTCTACTCTTGATTTTCCAGGGATAAGGCAATCCAGGGGTTGTCATAGCTTGTAGGTGAGAAGGCATAGTATCTCCTGAGCTTCACTACTTACAAGGCAAAAACTGGGCAAGTTGTTTAGCCTCTCTCAGCCTCAATTTTCTCATCTGTAAAATGGGGATAATGGTGCATACCTCATATGACTGTGAGAATTAGACATCATTTATAGCATCCTATATAATAAAGAGGTAATATGCAAATTAACCCTCACACCCTCACAAAGACGGCTGCCTATGACTAGGCCAGCAGGGGGGTTAGTGAGGGACAACCAAACGACTGAACAAGCAGGGACAATCAAAAGGTTGAACAGCAGGCTGCATGGGGTGACCAGGCCGGCTAGGGGGCCGTGAGGGGCAACCAGGCTGGCAGGGGGGACAGTTGGGGGTGACCAGGACAGCAGGGGGGCCAGTTGAAGCAACCAGGCTGGCAGTGGGGGGTGCAGTTAGGGTGACCAGGGCAGCAGGGGGGGCATGCAGTTGGGGTGACCAGGCCAGCTGAGTGGGGGGGCATGCAGTTGGGGTGATCAGGCTGGTGGAGTGGGGGGGCGTGCAGTTGGGGCAACCAGGCCAGCAGGGGGAGCAGTAAGGGGTGACTAGGCCAGTGGGGGGGGGGGCAGTTAGGGTTGACCAGGCTGGCAGGCAGGTGAGCAATTAGGAGCCAGCAGTCCAAGATTGTGAGAGGGATGTCCAACTGCCAGCAGTAAGACATCCCCCGAGGTGTCCCGGATTAGAGAGGGTGCAGGCTGGGCTAAGGGGACCCCCCCACTCCGTGCACAAATTTTGTGCACCAGGCCTCTAGTGTAATAATAATAGATGACTAATTTTTAAAATCCTCTTATCAAAATGTTTCCTTATAGAGTACTTTCTAATTGTAAAGGGGGAAATGCATTCAAGTGATCTAATTTAACATCATGAATAATAGAACAACCTGACACTTTGTGCTTCATATGAAGTATTCTGCCTAAAAATGTTTCAATTAAGCCCAATCAAGCCTCTAGACCAGTGCTATCCAATAGATGCTGGTGTGATGGTGGTAATGTTTTATATCTGTACTGTCCAATAAGGTAGCCACTAGTCCTGTGTGACATGTGGCTAGTACAACTGAGAAACTCAATTTTGAATTTAATTTAATGTCAACTAATTTAAATAGCCACATGTGCCCATTGGCTACCATACCGAACAGCCAAGCTCTAGAGTTAACTTCCAGTTGATAGACATACGTTAAAAGACACAAAATCTATTTTTAAAAATTTGGGAGACAATTGGGAAAATTGAATGTGGAATGGATAGTTAATAATTTTTTGAATTATTGCTCATTTGCTTGCCATGTAACTGTCAAATACTTGGACCAATGTGAAAAGAAATATGGCACAAAGCTAACATCTGTCTAATCTTGGACATCGCAGGATGTTTGTTATATATTCTCTCAACATTTCTATATGTTTGTAAATTTGAATAATAAAAGCTGAAGAAGACATCATACAAATATCTAATAATGCAGTAGCTGCTGCCGTGGTGAGAAAAAATCAGATGTTTTTCAGTAGCCTAGGATGACCTAGGGAGGGGACATCCACATTCGTGTTTCAGGGGCACCTTGCCTACTCCTGGAATGGAACCTTACATCTCAACCTTTCCTGGGCCTCCTCCCCACTCACTCTCCTACACACACAGGCCCCTCTCCTTGCTTCTCCCAGCATCTATTCTCCCTTCTCTTCCCCTTCTCCTGGGCTGTTCCTCCATCCTTCCCCTCCCCGGCCTGCCCTGCCCCTCTCTCCCCAATACACTCAGATGAGTGCATGCCCTGCTGGCCAGGCACTTTGAAGATGAAACATGCTGAGTCTCCCTAAGGCCCAGAGATTGGCATCTTTTATGCAGAAGAGGGTGCGGGCCACTCCACCATTAAAACACATTCTAGAGAGGGGCTGAACCCAGCTAACCGCCCAAGCCCATAAAGCATAAATTGCCCCAACTCCATCTGCATAGCCAAGCCCCTTCCCACCGGACCATAAATAGGACTGGGGCACCTGGAGGAGCACATTGGAGTTTCCACCAAGACTCCAGACCTCACATCTTCTACTCCACAGCCCAACCTCCAGAAGCACCATGACGTGCGGATCAGGATTCTGCGGCCAGGCCTTCAGCTGTGCCTCCGCCTGCGGGCCCCGGCCTGGCCGCTGCTGCATCACCGCCGCCCCCTACCGCGGGGTCTCCTGCTACCGCGGCCTCACAGGGGGCTTTGGCAGCCAGAGCGTCTGCGGCACCTTCCGCTCTGGCTCCTGTGGACGCAGCTTCGGATACCGCTCAGGCGGAGTGTGCGGACCCAGCCCGCCCTGCATCACCACCGTGTCCGTCAATGAGAGCCTCCTCACGCCCCTCAACCTGGAGATCGACCCCAACGCGCAGTGCGTGAAGCATGAGGAGAAGGAGCAGATCAAGTGTCTCAACAGCAGGTTCGCTGCCTTCATCGACAAGGTGGGTGTCCCTGACCAGCCCTTCCCTGAACCCTCTGTTGCTGGGCTGGGCGCTGAAGAGGAGTCAGGGGCAGGAGGGGGATGTGGTCCAGGTGAGCTCCCAGTCTGACGGAATAAATGAACACACATCCAGGGCACAGACACAAAGAGATGGAGAGATGCGTCTAGGGGAGGCAGAGACTCCTGGTTTGATAGCACTGTTATTACATATATACAACCCCTGTCCACATGCAGGGAAACCACAGAGAGACAGAGCAAGACTTGGAACTGTATCCTAGGAAGGAAGCCCTACATGCACACAAGACACAAGAAATGCGCATAAGAAATAGGAGCTGGGCCACAGGGACCTCCTTTTGAAAGGTGTCCTTGATCACACCTTTCCTGAAACCTCCTCATACTCACGATTCAGGCTAGCCATGGAAGGGGGACTCAAGAACAAAACAACCTCCACTCAGCTCCTGACTACATGCCACCTACACTCATCAGAACTGAAAACTATTCGCCTGAGAGCAGGAACTGACCTTTCCCATACCCTAGGTCCCATCCCTAAAATGGAAAATCCAGATATGAATAATAGAAAACAGAAGTTGCCTTGTCTCTCAGTGTTCAACTCTATCTAAGCTCTGCTGAGCTCCAGCTTTGTGAGTTAACATAAAGCATCCCCCAAATTGGTTTTGGGGCATCAAGAGCCATCTCACAGATCCTCCCACCCCAAATGGCAGGTGCGCTTCCTGGAGCAGCAGAACAAGCTGCTGGAGACCAAGTGGCAGTACTACCAGAACCGCAAGTGCTGCGAGAGCAACCTGGAGCCGCTGTTTGAGGGCTACATCGAGACGCTGAGGCGCGAGGCCGAGTGTGTGGAGGCCGACAGCGGGAGGCTGGCCTCAGAGCTGAACCACGTGCAGGAGGTGATGGAGGGCTACAAGAAGAAGTGAGTGTGGCTGGCTTTGACGTTGGACACAGGGAAGGACTTAGGTTAAAGACTATTGGATTAGGCATGAGAAGAATTCCAACAGGGTGAGCAGCCGTGCAGGCCAGGGTGGCAGGATGTAGTAGGATCTTTTCACCTGTGCAGTTGTTGCCCAGACGCCTGCCTGAGAGTAGGGCTGTGATTCCCCCAGGACATCTCTCCCCTGCGTTAGCCTTCTTTTCTTGGAGTCTGACTACCCAGCAGCTGTTGCCTGTGCTCTGTGGGGAGAAGGCTTCTGGCATCTTCCAGGCCTTCTCCTCCTGACCTCCCACCTATAGCACATGGCCCATGGATGTGATATAAACCCTACTTGTCCTGGGGCCCTGGGTGTCCCATAGCTCAGGGCTCTGAGTGCTGATGGCCTCTGGAACTCACAGACCCCACTCCTGTGCAAGGATGCACACTCAGTGAGGGGTGGCTGGGCTGCTGTGCCCCAGAGGGGATGCTGGCCATGCCCAGCATAGGGCTGGTGCTGAGGCCTTATTTGCCTCAGAGCAGCTATGAGGTCCCAGAAGATTGGCCCCAGGGACCCCTCAATTCAAGGCAGTGATATCCTAAATCCAATCAAAAGGATATAACAGGGCTGCCAGGGTCCAGCTGTGGTGGGAGGTTCCTAACATTGGCCCCTGCCCTGGTATGAAGTGGGAGGGGTTCATGGGAGACCTGCCCTTCCGTGACCTCCCTCTCTGCCTCTTCTGCCTCAGGTATGAGGAGGAAGTTTCTCTGAGAGCAACAGCTGAGAATGAGTTTGTGGCTCTGAAGAAGGTGAGTCATGTGGTATTGGGGAGCACAGACATGAGGGATCCTAGAAAGACAGACTCTTCCTGAGGAGACCCTGAGGGTCTCAAGCTCAGTGTGGGGTGCAGAGACCTTGTCAAATCACATGGGGAATTCCCAGAGATCAGGTCATGGAAGGAACATCCAGAGCTTTGACAAAGGTCAATACCCTTGGAATATCCACTGTGTCCTGGGGCACGGGGATGGCCGGGTTGACCTCTGGATGTCCTGCTCAGCTTCAGAGGTGTGGTCTGTGGCTTAGGTCCCATAAGCCTGGCATCTTCAGTCTCTGTTGAGGGACAATGTTCTGTCTAGAGCTGTGTGATGTCTGAATAAAAGGAGGGGGAGGATGGAACAGAACCTGGAGTGGCCAGGTGGAGTCTGGGAGGAGTGCTGGGTGACAGGGAGGGGCCAAGATGTCTGAGTGGGGAGGCAGTCTGGGCAGGCGTCCTGGAACAGGGTGAGTAAAAAAGGAGAAATGGGAGGGTAAGCTACCTCAGGTGAGAGGGGAAAGGTTGGTGGCCCATCTTCAAGACAGAAAGGGGTTTGTTCTTAGAAGGGGAGGAGGTTGTGAGGCCCATCCCAGGAAGTTGAGAAGGTATGGAGATGGGATGGGAATGGGAACCCTGGGAGTCCTTCCCCCTCCACCCGGCCTCCGTGAATGCCTGAGAAGAGGGCATTAGGGTGACAATCACCATGGGTCCTCTGAGCTCAAAGACTGACAACCTTTCCAGGATGTGGACTGCGCCTACCTCCGCAAGTCAGATCTGGAGGCCAACGCAGAGGCCCTGACCGAGGAGATTGACTTCCTGCGGCGACTGTATGAGGAGGTGAGGGCTTGTGGTCCAGGCAAGAAACTGGCAGCTAGCCTGGAGGAGAGAGCTTTGGCCTGGAACCTAAGGTGGACAGGGATTCGGGCATCAGTCTGCCATCCATGAGGAGGTGGGGGTTGGAGACCAGGGAGGGCTGAGAAGATTGGGTGGAGGCTATGGTGGTGGAGTCGCTGGCATAAACAAGATCCTTCCTCCTCCCATACCCACAGGAGATCCGTGTCCTCCACGCCCACATCTCAGACACCTCCGTTGTTGTCAAAATGGACAACAGCCGGGACCTGAACATGGACTGTGTCATTGCTGAGATCAAGGCTCAGTATGACGACATCGCCAGCCGCAGCCGGGCCGAGGCCGAGTCCTGGTACCGCAGCAAGGTGAGTGGCCCAGGACACCTGCCTCCTAGACATGGCAGTGGGAGGGATGTGAGGTTTATATTAGAAAAGACTGCTTTTTTCTGGGGATTCTGATCCTAAAGATGGTAACAGAGGCCAGACAGCTCTCAGGTTGAGGGGCCAGGGCTGCCATGGATGGTTGCTCAGGCTGAGCACTGTACAACCTGCACTGTCATCTGTGGTGACCTGAATGGGTGGCAGGTCCCATCCTGAATCTCTGCTTCCCCCCAGTGTGAGGAGATGAAGGCCACAGTGATCCGTCACGGGGAGACCCTGCGCCGCACCAAGGAGGAGATCAATGAGCTGAACCGCATGATCCAGAGGCTGACCGCCGAGGTTGAGAATGCCAAGTGCCAGGTACGGGGCATCTGAGAGGCTGAGGGCCTGGCCTGGCTTCCACAGGCCATGTGGACTTCAACATTCATTCTCCAGCCCATCTGCATGACTAGAGTCATGGGTGTGGTTACTCAGTGAGACCCAGGTCATGAGGGTGAGGGGCCTATTTTGGAAGTGTGGCCAGCTGGGTGTGAGTGACTGGACACATCCAGGAAATGAACAGAGAGACCTGGGGACCATAACCTGTTTTATCCTCTTCCGGGCCCCCAGAACACCAAGCTGGAGACTGCTGTGAAGCAATCAGAGCAGCAGGGTGAGACAGCCATCAGTGATGCCCGCTGCAAGCTGGCCGAGCTGGAGGCCGCCCTGCAGAAGGCCAAGCAGGACATGGCCTGCCTGCTCAAGGAGTACCAGGAGGTGATGAACTCCAAGCTGGGCCTGGACATCGAGATCGCCACCTACAGGCGCCTGCTGGAGGGCGAGGAGCAGAGGTGAGACCCTAGTTGGCCAAGCTGCCATTTCTGCCCCATTAAGGGCCAAGAGCCTGGGATAAACCTGTCATTTATCACTTTGGGGTAGTGGTCAATTTTGGAGGGCTCTTTCCTCAGACCTCCGCTTCTCCCCTCTTGACTTGTGGACCCAACCCCCAAAATTTGTGGAGCTCTGTCTGCCATTCTGGCCAAGTTACTAATACTGCTCTTTTTTTCTTTCCTCTCAGGCTGTGTGAAGGCGTTGGGGCCGTGAATGTTTGTAAGTAACATGGGCCCTGTGTGGGTAGATTTACTCTCTTGCTATAAAGGATGGAAGAGTCTGGAAGGAGGGGTTTCACTGGGACCTAAATATAAAAGGGCTGGCATTCCAACAGAAGGGGTTTGGGGTCAGACAGCAGGAAAGACCACAGCTGTGGGACTGGGTGGACCTGGAGTTGTCAAGTAGAGATACTGTACTTGGGGAGGGGCATCCTTGGGATGGGATAACTCGCCATCAGAATTTTGACTCATGCTTTGGGGTTCGCAGGTGTCAGCAGCTCCCGGGGTGGAGTCGTCTGTGGGGACCTCTGTGTGTCAGGCTCTAGGCCTGTGACAGGCAGTGCCTGCAATGCCCCCTGCAGTGGGAACCTGGCGGTGAGCACCGGAATGTGCGCTCCCTGCGGCCCCTGCGCCCCCTGTGGCCCCTGCAATTCCATTACATCTTGTGGACTGGGCACTGGAGGAGTGGGCTCCTGTGGCATCAGTTCCTGCGGCGTAGGCTCCTGTGTCAGCAGCTGCCGCAAGTGTTAGGTGTCCCAGCTCAAGCCCCGACCAGCATCTCTCCCTCCCAGCAGGGCCTGGTCCAGCCCTGGGGGGAGCAAGCACTGGGTTATTTCTCCTGCACTTTGAAAGGTCCATCCTGCTCCTAGACTCCTCTGTGTATCTGTGATCACCTCTTCCTATGCTCTGCCCCCACCCACCCACCCCACGCTGGGAAAGGCTACCCCAGAAAGAAGTCCCCTTGGTGCCCACAGGAAGGGGGCTCCAGGACAGGAAGGACCAGAACCAGGACCCTACCCTGGGCTGCCATGGGGCCAGTGGCCAGGGTCCCCCAGCCTCTCCCCTTCCTCCTCTGTTCCTCTCTGTCTTAATCTGTGTTTCCAATAAATCAATGTAGCCAACCCTGGGCCTTGTGTTCACCTCTGTTATCCTCAAGGGTTAGGGTTTGGGAGGATCCCGATAGTCCCATGGAGCAGAAAAGGCCTAGTCTGGGGTCTCCAATACAATCTTCTGTCCCTGGGCTCACAGCAGTCTGAGATTTAGCCAAGGGTTGAGCTGGGCCCGCACACAGTGCAGTTTTATTCACACGACCTTGTAGATTTCATCCACACCACCTTTTATGATGCATCTTGCAGATGAAGCAGCCAGAGCTCAGAGACGCTCAGTAATTGGGCCCCCTGCTGAGGTCAATGGTACAGCTGGGGTTTGAACCCGTGTGCATCTCTGGAGCTCACTTCACCAAACCACAGAAAACATCCCTGTGCACCCCTGTGAGCTGATTCTCCAGTCACTCAAAGCGTAAGGAAAATCACTGTTGTTGTGGTGGGGAAGACTCGGGGCTGAGTAATTTATTAGAATTCTTTAAGGATACGTACATAATTGAAACTCTCAGAAAGCCTTTGATATGGCGCCTTTTTAAAAAATGGAGTCCCTTGAGGTTTGGAGACCTGCCATTGCTGGTAAATTACCTCACAAACAGCGCCTAACACGAAGATGATGTGGCAGAGAGGCGAGCACACAAACTGGGGCCAGACGGCCTGGGCTCTGTTCCTTTCTCACTGAGTGACCTTGGACAATTTACTTACCCTCCCTGTGCCTCAGTGTCCACATCTCTAGTGAGAGTGATAAAAAGAGCACCCACCTCAGTGCTGATGGGAGGATTGAGGAACTTCATATATAGCACTTCGTGCCTGGCATAAATTTATGACGATGTATGTTTATCTTTAGTATTATTTGCTTTGCCTCTATTTACACTTGTATCTGTGATTAGAGATTGAAGTACAGTGAGAATTATTCATGTCTTCCAAAGTCATTGAGCTCCTCCTTCAGGGAAACGTCCCCCCTCCACGCCCCCGCTCTGACACTGATGAGGATATTGCAAGAGGTGGTGCGAGTTGGGAGATGGCTCTTTGACTTCACTATGGGCCAAGGCGAGCCCTGAACATACATCTATACAGCAGAGCGGATCTACATTCCCAGGCCCAGGCCCAGAAAACTATAGCAGAGATGTTAACCCCCACCCCTAGTGCTCAGGGCAACAGAAATAATTATGACTATGTATTGATAGACCAGGAGCCAAAGGCTCTTTTAAGGGACTGTATCAATCCCAGGTAATTCCGAGCAGGGCAGAGCCCTGGGAGAGTTCCAGAGCGTGCAATTGTTCTAACCAGCCCTCTGAGCTGTAACACCTGTCAGGAGTCCAGACCTAAGGCTCAAAGAGAGACACTAATACAGCTAAGCTGCACCCAACATATTTGAGTGCAATTAAGTGTGAGACAGGCATCAGCAGCCAACAGTTGGGCTGACACCTTGAGGTCCCCAAAGCGATGACTGCGCTGGTGACAACCCTCCTCCCTTCAGAAGTCATCCCAACTCATAAAGCTCAAAAATGGGAAGATGAATGACTCCCCATAAATGCACCAGGTAGTTCTCCCCCACCCCAGGCTGGAATGTGGTCCATGGCCAGGGGAGCCACTCAGAGAATCAGTCCCCAAGCTGCAAACACTGCTGTGGTCCACGTGGCCCTGGCTCGGCAAGAGATTCCAACCTTCCAAGCTCCGGGAATCTCTTGGACTGACGTCAGGCTTGGGATTTAGAAAGGAAAAATTCAGGCAGCAGCCAGTCCTCTGTGGTGCAGGCTGCAGTAGGCTCATCAGAAATCCTGCCTGCAACTCCTGGGCAAAATGCCCAACCAAAAACTCTTGCAGAAGGGCAAGATCTGTTTTCAGGAGCTGATTTGCACTGGGAGTGTCGGTAAGAACATTTATATCGTTGGTGTTAGTATAGATCAAATGGGACTGATGCAGGAGTCCGGTGGGGCCATGTCCCCTACCCTTCAAGAGCTGGTAGCCTGACAGCCATGTTTCCATCCCATTCCTCTGGCATGAGATTCCTGTTTACCCAGGAAGGGAGCCTGTTAGATACCTTTGGGCAGGGACCCAGGAAAACAGCAGACACCCTAGCACTAGTATTACCTTAAAAGGTAAAGCCAGAGCCTCGGGCCAATGACGCACCTTAGCCCTACTCCGGGACTTAGAAAGCAGAAACCTTTGTTTCCCAGACGCACTGATGATGTAAACCTTTGTGCAATAGACAAAAATGTGAGCTCAATAGATAGGGACATCTCTCAGGCTGTGTGCCAAGGCAAGAGCTCAGAAATCCAGCCCTTCACTGGCCACCCAACCCTCCAAACTGGCCTGTCTTCTGCCCCTTAAAGTCCAGTTAGTTGCCTTGTGAAAACTCAAACTACTCTACACCACAGACCTGGAGTAGAAGCAGAGCTGGAACCTCAGTCTGGTTCCAAAGGCGTGCTTTCCTCCACTGTCATACGTTGTTCCCAGCCCACCCTCAGGTCACTTGTGAAACTAGAACTCAGGCCTGAGCCTCCCAGTTGTGCTCAGATCCCCCAGCCCCAATCTGCGAGGGCATCTTCCCTGGGCCTGTCCTCAAGAGCCCCTGCCTGGGCACAGAAGGCACGCCCTCATCCCTAGCCCACTCCATTCTCTTTCTGGTCTGCATTCTTGTTTAGGGGCCCCCTCTCCACCAGAATGTCATCTCCAGGGAGCCAGGACGAGCGTGTCATCTTGCACACCAAGCACTATGCCTGACCCCCAGAGGCCACTCCGTTTTTGTTTGTAGCCAATGAGTGGATGAATAGATGCACTTCTCAGCTCCTCTGCCAGGAAGAGCTGACGATGGACCCCAAGCTAGGGTGGTTGCTTCTGGGCAGTGTCCCGGCCCCAAATCTGGCCAGCTTTGTCTTTATTCTGAGGAATCCACGTGCGAACAGCCTGGTGGCTCAGTCCACTGCAGAACATTTTTACTGCAAAGGAAGAGTCCCAGGAAAAGAGGGGCGCGGCAGTTCAAAGGGCAAGACTGAGACTTTATGGTTCAGGGTGAGGGACACGAGGGAGAAATGAGGCGAGGGCCAGATCGATTGGGAGGGGCGTCTGAGACAGAGGACCAAGTCTTTGGGGCAAAGGCTAGGGTTCTTGGAGCAGGAGAGGATGTGTTCAACGTCCGGGGAAGTCTCTGCAGCTGAATTCCTTGACACGGCCTGGTGAGCCGCAGAGTGGGCTGCTGCAACCAGGAGTGCTCGTCTCCAGGGCATCAGAACCTGCTCCTGCTCCTGAAGGTAGCAGACGGTCAGGGCCCCGGGCCAAGCCGGACTGGCAGGTGAGATCACTGTCCAGAGCTGAGCAGAGAGTGGCTGTTGGAGGGAGGAAACCCCCTTCCCGCTCTCCACCCCAGGAGACAGACATACCAACAACTCCTCCAGGAAGCAATGCACAGACCCTCCTCCCTAATAGGAGTCAGACAGGCAAACTCCCCAAAGTAACAGATACACAGACCCCCTTCTCCCAAGAAACAGACTCAAGAATCCTTCCCTCTCCGAAGTCGGACACAGATTCCCCCCACCCAAGAATAAAAGTCTCGCCCACGAGAATAAGGTCACAGAACTTCCTTCTGCACCCCAGGCAAAACCAATAGAACAGTGGTCCTCAACCTTCTGGCCCTTTAAATACAGTTCCTCATGTTGTGACCCAACCATAAAATTATTTTCGTTGTTACTTTATAACTGTAATGTTGCTACTGTTATGAATCGTAAGGTAAATATCTGATATGCAGGATGGTCTTAGGCGACCCCTGTGAAAGGGTCATTCGACCGCCAAAGGGGTCTCAACCCACAGGTTGAGAACCACTGCAATAGAACCTCCCTGCAAAGAACAGACCCCAGGACCCTCCCCCCACCCTACACACAAACACAAAGACTCACTCCCAAGAGAGAAACCACCCCTGGCAAAGGGAGACACACAGAGGATGCAGACCCCTTCTCCCTTCCCAAGAGGATGCACAACAAAGGGGGGCAGATAAGATTTGGCCCCTCCAACCGGTTATACCTATTATTTACTTACTGAGGCTCTCTGATCTCCGTCTCAGGCCAAGCCTGCAGGGAGGAGGGGGACACAGGTAAGTGGACCTCGCTCCTGGGTGTAACAGTCCCCATTCTCCTCTCTACAGAAGTCATTCATCCTGCAAGCTCCTTGGTTCTCTCAGGTCCCCACAGCCTTTTGAGTGAAGGCTCCTTTGAACCTTTAAATTCAATCTTTCCTGCCATAAATTTAAATAACTCACTTTTATTGATGTCTTCTCAGGAGAGGGAGAAGGCAAAAGATCTATACTTTGGGGGGCCTAAACATTGAAAAGGGAGGCTGTGGGTGGGGGTGCATTTTAAAGGAGACCACAGAGAAGACAGCTCAATTATCTGAAGAATATGGTTCAAGCCTCACTTAATCCCTTTCTACTTGTGCATCCTTGAGGTGGTCCTTTTGCCCTCTCTGAGACTTTGTTTCCTCATCTGACAAAGCATCCTCCCATGGGGTTGCGGGTTTAAAAGAGATAATAAATGTAGCATGGCTGCATAGTGGATTCCCTCTCCCTCCCCTCAGCCTGGTGTCCCCAGGTGGGTGGAGCTGGCAGTCTTTGAGTCCCTACTGCTGTCTAAGAGTAGAAGCCAGGCCCTCCTGGTTCCCACAAACCCTGCCTTCCCCAGGTCCCAGGAAGATGGGCAGAACTGAGAAGAAGGCACTCCGTACTGGGACCTTACTCCCCTGGCTGGGCCTTGCAGCTGTCATGAGGGACAAACTAGCCCCTGCTCTCTGGTCCTGGGGGTGAATGACTTTATGAGCTGCCCTAACCTAGCTGCCATGGTGCTCATTAGCTGGGGCCTTCCGTCTAAAGGGCTGTTGAATAGTGGGAACAAACTGCCTCCAGGAAAACAAGTCTCTGGATACTCGGGTCACCTTTCCCCACCCCATCCCCAGCTGCTGAGGCCCCAGGTGGTGACCCCCACACCCCCTGTGATATATCTGAAGCACTGCCCAGCCCTTACCTTCTCTCCTCGTCCTCCAGCAACTTGCGGTAGGTGGCGATCTCAAAGTCCAGGCTCAGCTTGACGACCACGAGCTCCTGGTACTCCCGCAGCTGCCGGGCCATGTCCTGCCTGGCCCGTTGCAGGGCAGCCTCCAGCTGGGCCAGCTTGCCCTTGGCACTGCCTGAGGCACCCTCCTCCTGCAGAGCTCCCTCGAGTTCGCTGGGCTGGGGGGAAAGGGGGGACCACGAACAGAAGGACATCCTTGGTCCCCACCTCTATCTCCTCAAGGATCTCTAGACCTTTCTCAGAGGCTGGGGAGCCAATGAGAATTACAGATTGTTGTGTGGAGTGAGCATGCCTGTTCTGAAACGTGTGTGTGTGTGTGTGTGTGTGTGTGTGTGTGTGTGTGTGTGTACGTGCACCCTATTACCAGGATGGAGATTTGGGGCCAGCCATTTGGGACAGCTGAGAGAAAGCCTTTGACATCAGTATGGTGACACTTCTAAAATGAGTTCAGATGGGAGAAGCAGCAAATGCTCCTTAGCACATAATGCTGAGATTATTGTTTTATCAGGGAAACTAACAAGATGGCTATTCTGTGCTCACAGAAGACTAGAATGTGAAGTCTTCAGGGGAAATAATAATAACTGCTTGCCTTGGTAATGTGCTTGCTGCTTAGGAAACAGGCTGGGGGAAGGGAGGCAGGATCAGAGCTGTGACTGGTGGAGGACTGAACCCCAACATGCCCACCCTCTCATTCTGCCCCCTCAGCGTCATCAGTTCCTGGAGAAGGGCAAACCTCCCTCAGAGCCTAAGACACTTGTCTCTCCAGAAAGCAAGAAAAGACCAAAGCAGAACCCCTTCCCTCCGGTGTGGAGTGTGATTGGGAGGGCTTGACAAAGAGTGGGCTGGGAGAAAAGAGGAGGTTGCCAGGGAGAGAGGTCAGGGAACGGGAGTGCTCATGTGGAACCTGTCCTTCCTAAGGCCTAAGCCTGAGTCGCAAACATAAATGCCAACAGAGGCCTGGCTGAAGCATCAAACGGTAAAGGCCAAACATTAACTGTGTACAACAGGATCCAGTTCCACAGAGAAATGTGCATGCTCTCAGTGTCCTGAAATTACCAGCACCTCTTTCACGTTTCCAGCCTTTCATTTCTCTATTTTTAAAAATATGTCTTTATTGGTTTTGGGGTTTTTGGGGTGTGTGTGTGTGTGTGTGTGTGTGTGTGTTTGTTTTGTTTTGTTTTGTTGTTTTTTGTTGTTGTTTTAGAGAGAGAGAGAGGAAGGGAGAAGGATAGAGAGATAAAACATCAATGATGAAAATCATCACTGATCAGCTGCCTCTTGCACGCCCCCTACTGGAGATCAAGCCTGCAACCCAAGCATGTGCCCCTACTCGGAATCGAACCACCCCCCTCTTGGTTCATGGGTCAATGCTCAAAAACTGAGCCACTGGCAGGACAAAAATTATTTTTTTTGTTAATCCTCACCGAAGGATATTTTTCCATTGATTTTTAGAGAGAATGGAAGGGAGGGAGGACAGAGAGAGAAACATCAATGTGAGAGAGACGCATTAGTGTGAGAGAGACACATTGATTGGTTGCCTCCCGCATGCACACAAGTCAGCGCAGGGATTGAGCCTGCAACCGAGGCACCTGCCCTTGACTGGAATCTAACCTGCAACCCTTCAGTCGCAGGCCCACACTCTATCCACTGAGCTAAACCAGTTAGGGCTCATTTCTCCACTTTAGATAGAGACACGGCCTCAGCACCTTTTCTCTCCACAGGGATGATAACAGTGCCAGCCTAGGTGATGGTAAGTGGCAAAGAACCCTCTGCCTCAATGTTAAATGAGGCAATCTGGAGTGGTGGGGGCTGTGGCACACAAAGTAACATATTCCCAAGCCAAATGCTGCCATGTGGGACATCTACACTAACAAAAGACAAAAATGCTAATTGACCATACCTTCGCTATGCCCTAAGCCATGCCCACCAGCCAATCAGAGTGACTATATGCAAATTAACCCAACCAAGATGGTGGCCAGCAGCCACGGAGCTGGAGCAAGCAGGAGGCTTGGTTGCCCAGGCGATGGAGGAAGCCAAGCTTCCCACCAGCCCTGAGCCGGCTGTGGCCTCTGCTCATGGCAACAAAGTTTCAATTATAGAAGACAAATAAATCCCAGATACCTGTTTCCAGCCAGCCTCCACTGGGAGCTTGGGTGGCTGGGGGCCATGGCCAGCCCCTCTGGGGGGCTTGGCCAGCCTGCAAACTGCCATCAGCCACTCACCCAGACTGTTCAGGCACCCCAGCAGGACCCCCCCCCCACCCTGAAGGGACTGTGGCCAGCCTGCAAACAGCCATCAGCCCCTCACCCAGGCTGGCCAGGCACTCCTATCTAATAAAAGGGTAATATGCAAATTGACCCTAACAGCAGAACGACTGGGAATGACTGGTCACTATGACACACACTGACCACCAGGGGGCAGATGCTCAATGCAGGAGCTGCCCCCTGGTGGTCAGTGTGCTCCCATAGGGGGAGCTCTGCTCAGCCACAAGCCAGGCTGATGGCTGCCAGTACAGCGGTGGTGGTGGGAGCCTCCCCCGCCTCCTCAGCAGCGCTAAGGATGTCCGACTGCAGCTTAGGCCTGCTCCCCGCTGACAAGTGGACATCCCCTGAGGGTTCCCAGGCTGCCAGAGGGATGTCTGACTGCCAGCTTAGGCCCAATCCCCCAGGAAGTGGGCCTAAGCCAGCAGGTGGTCATCCCCTGAGGGGTCCCACACTGCGAGAGGGCACAGGCCGGGCTGAGGGACCCCCTGAGTGCACAAACTTTTGTGCACCAGGCCTCTAGTAGTTTAATATTACCAGATCCACTTTTTTTTTTCAGATCCACATATTTTTAAACAGAAACCAGAAAACTGGATTTCTAGGTAAAATCTTGCAAATTCTAAAGATGAGCTCAAATTTAATGCTATAAAGGGCAAACAAAACACATAGACATAAAAATGTACATACAGATAAAAACAATATAAAAACAAGCATATATATTACCTACATGTTGAATCACTTACCCGTATGAACTACAGAGAATCATAGGCAAATGTAAGCATGATGTACACAGATAGCCACAGTCCTATTTGCTCAGACATTCACAAAGAGAAACTCAATCTACTTCAAAGGATGAGGGAAGGGGAATGTATGCTAGTTGTCATAAATAACAGACACACATCCCAAACAACACCACTCTGCCACCCCCACTCCCACCCCTCACCTGACTCTCAGCTCTGTCCACATCCACAGTCAGCCGCTGGATGGCCTGGTTAAGCCTGTTCAGCTCTTCCTTGCTGTACCCCAGGCTCTGCGGGTGTCTCTGCATGGTCATCTTTATCTCCTCACACTATGGGGTGGGGGCAGCAGCGTAAGAGGGAGGATCAGGGGACGAGGAGAGTAAATAAGGGCACTTGACTGATATTACTATGATGAGCCAAGCTGAGGTCTCCTCCAAGCCTCCTGTGAGCACTAAGCCAAGCTACAGCCCAAGGAACTCCCAGAATCCTCACCTCTGAAGACAAGGCCTCTCCTACTTGGGGGCTTTATGACCTCACCTGTGACAATTGCAGAGTTCTGACCTGGAGTAGAAGGGGCAGTTCTGGGAGCTCAGATGGGAAAGTGGAGGTCCTTGGGCTGGAATGGGCCTTGCAGGAAGGTTCTCGAACCGACCAGCCACATTGCTACCAGACAGGCAATTTAGGCAGGCCTATCTGTTAGCAATGGGGAAGACAGACATGAGGGAGGGACACTGGGGCTGGGGATTCCAGTTCCCAAGACCTGATAGGAAATCTGGGGTGATGACTCTAAACTGAAGAAGGAACCAGGGGCCTAGAGAGTACAAGCCTCTGTTGGCATTTCTTTTTGTTTATAAATTTCTCATACATGCCAAAGAGTATATATAACATATGTTTAATAAAACAGATCCTTGTGTACTCACCAGGACCTTCAAATATCCCTGGGGGACCCTTATCATAGCATCCTTCATCCCTAATCCCATCCAATCTCCAAAGTAATCACCTTCCTGGGTTTTTGTGTTAACTATTTTCTTGCTTTTCTTTATTATTTTATCATGTGTGAATAAACCTCCAAGCAATCATTTAGTTTTGCCTGCTTTTATGCTTTATATATAGAATTACTCTGCCTATATGCTTCTATAATTTTATTTTTCCTCCTCAACATCTTATTTTTGTGACTCATCCATTTATTTCTTTTTCAGTGCTGTATAGTATTCCAATGTATGAATAATTCTCCATTCTCCTATAGGTATGCATGTGTATATTTTTCTTTTTGTTATAACAAACAATCTTGCTATGAGCTTTTTGGTACATGTCTACTGGTATACTCAGAAAGAGGATCTTTAAGGTCCTGACTATCAAACATTTTTTAACCACAACTCAAAGTAAGAAGTATATTTTATGTCATGAATCAGTATCTACGTACATATTACAACACACACAAAATTATTTGCCAAATTCATTATAGTAATTTATTCTTTGACCAGCAATATATAAAAAAATTATATTCCCTCCAACACATCTCAATTTGCAACAATTCCAATGATGTATGCAATGATGTATATTTTGACCTATGGGAAATTGGAAACCTTAGAGATGAAGTCATTAATTCTTCTAACATTGCTCAGTGCCTGCTCTGTGCCAACACTGTGCCAGACACTTCCTAGCACTTGAGAATTACCTCAAGGATCCCTGAGCCATCAGAGCACCCCTCCTCAATGTCCCCAGCCCTAAGCACACCAATGCATAAATAGCTGGGATAACCCTAGCAGCCCCCGCCACCTTGAATGCCCTCCAGGAGATGTCACCCAACCCTCCAGGCCTGAAATAATGGACAAGAGATTGACAAGCATGACAGGAATATATGACTTTATTTTAAGCACAGACAGCAAGGAGGAAATGGAGATTTGGGGAAGGAAGGGAAGAACAAGAGTGCAAGGGAAGGGGAAGGTCGGGCTGTCCTCTTCATGGGTCCAGGCAGCCCAGAATCCACAGAAGAAATCCACATGTCACTCCTCCCAGCAGCCTTTCTTGGCCTGGGGGAGGCAGAAGACAAGGAGTGAGGTTCTCACACAACCAGAAATGAGAAGTGACCCCAGACAGTCCGGTTCAGTGGCTAGAGCTTTAGCCCATTGGCCAAAGGGTCCCAGGTTCCATTCCAGTCAAGGACATGTACCTTGGTTGCAGGCATGATCCCCAGCCCTGGTTGGGGTGCATGCGGGAGACAGCCAATCAATGTGTCTCTCTCACATCAATGTTCCTCTCTCTGTCTCTCCCCCTCCCTTCCACACACACTAAAAATTTATGCAAAAATATATTTGGGTGAGGATTAACAGTAAATAAATAAATAATAAAATGGAAAACATGATACTTAAAAAAAAAGAAAGAAAGAAAGAAATGAGAAGTGGACAGCAGAGAAAATAGGTCAGAGTTAGATCAACCAGTTGTACCTGCCACTGGGTTGCACCTGGGTGGGTTGGGCATAAGAGCCAGCTGGGACCCTCTGGGTGGGGGGAGGGCTGGAGGCTCGGGTGTTTCCTCAAGCCCTGCCAACTTAACCCTTCTTACAGCTGCTGCTACAGGCTCCCATCCCACTGTATCTGGTGCCACAGGTACAGGCGGCAGAGAGGTCCCCAGAAACAACACTGTCCCGGGAGCTGTTCACACCTGCAAAGGGACAATAAGGATAACTCAGAACCTTTGTGGGGAGCTGGTCCCGAACAGCACCCAGACCTGGAGGAGCAGGCTGGCATGGGGGAGGGGCTGGGGTGGTCACCAGAGCAGGTACCCGCAATAGAGGAGAAATAACAACAACAACAACAATAATAATAGCAGTTAGAATTTATTGACCACCTACTATGTACCAGGCATTCTACGAATGCTTTACATACACACCTCACTTTATCCTCACCCCATCCCTGAGCAAGTTTTATGTCTTCATTCTAGACACAAAACCAACTGAGGCTCAGAGAGATGATGTAATTTTTCACCCAGATGGCGGAGCTCAGGCTTGAACCTAGTTGTATTTGATTCCAGAAACACTCTTGATCACTACACCACAGAGAAGGGGGAAAAAGTGTTTCTTAAATGGGCACATTGATATTTAAGATGTTTCATAATGATGCCTTGGGTTACCAAAACTAGACACACACACACACACACACACACACACACACACACACGTTCTCACACATACACTCCATATAGTATCGCCCATCCCTTTGGCTGGCTCCCCTCTGATCATGGCGCTCTCAGGTCAAGCACCTCCAGTGCTCAGCTTGACATTCTAAGCCCGCCCCATCCAGCCACCATATCCACCACCTAGCCCCAGCCTGCCGCCTTTCCCCCTGCCCTCTCCAGCTCCTGTTTTTCAGCTAACGTGGACTGCCAGCTATTCCTGTCACACCGATAGCCTCAGTTACTTTGTGTGGTTGCTTACATCTTTCCCCCTCTCTCACTCATCTCAGCACATTCAGTTCTTCACCATTCTTCAGGTCCAATCAAACTGTGTTCTTCTCCAAAGACCCTGCCTGACCTCTGGCCCCAAGCTCAGGAACTGAGGCTCACTCTCCCTCCAAGTCCCGCTGGCCTGGTGTTCCTCCATTAGAGCCAGACACCCTGCAGCTGTGTATCAGGGCCCTCTGTCCCTGCCTGCCCTGCCTGGGGACTGCCATCTCCTCCTTCATGCCCTGAGCCAGTTCCTCCTGAGTGCTCAGCAGGTGTTTGCACCTGCATTGAATTGGCTCCTGGACCCTCCTGGGAGGAGATGGGGGTTAAGAAGAAACCTGACAACCAAGACAGAGCATTTGCTTTTCATCAGTAGACTGATGGACTGGCGATAAAGGGGTTAGAAAATGATTTCTAGAAGAACTGGCCAAGAATAGAACAGCCCTCCTCTTCCCCAAGGAAGCAGAACTACCAACCCTCTCTGTAGGGAAATCTCTTCTTGGTGTGTCTGAATGCTCATGCTAAGCCCATCTCCTGTGCATGGGTTCCAGAATAATAAAGAGAGAGCAGGGCGCGTGTGTGTGTCCCTGAGGCTCGGTCAGAGACTGGTACTGACTCTTTGGGGGACCACTTTGTTCCAGCCGTCAGACCTTCAATTCCCTCCCCTTCAGCTTGTGTTCTGAGTGGGCACACATCAACCCGCAGCCCTCTGGTCTCTCTGGATGTTAATGCACTTAATTATCTGTGTGGACAAAGGCTGATTACGAATCTCATCAATTGTGATAGCACAGAAAGTCCTACCCATTGACCCACCAAAACCCAGAAAGAGGTCCAAGCAAGAATCACATACGTACCTCCATAGGACTAATTTAAGGCCTCCATGCTTCGGGGGTAAGTCCATTTCCTCTCAGGACGGGACACCAAAGGAAGATGTCACCAATACCACCATTCCCTGGAGAAATTTGGAGTAGGAATGCATTATCCTCAAGGCGTGAGTCACACAGCTGTGGACTCCAGCTGCAGCTGGAAGTAGGAGCACAAGACACTGGGGAGCTGGGCTCCACCTTCTACAGAGGACAGAACTAAGGCTGGGCTGAAACTCCCACTAAGCCAAGGCTGAACCAAAGGGCTTGGGCTCTTAAGGGTGTTGGAAAGGGGGCAATGGGGCACTCCCTGGAAATGGAATGCCAGGCAGCCAGAGGCAAGCACTGCAGCCATGATGACCTCTGAATTCCAGGATTTAATTACCCTTTGCACAATAATAACTCATATTTAAAAACAAAGGAAGCTAAGAATAATTTACATGTTTCTTTTTATTATTGGCTGCTGAGTTCACACGTTGGTTTCCTCTGCCCATAACTGGACACATAATCAACTTCCATTATGATAGGTTTGGCCTCCTAGAGTTGGTGGCCATGACCAAGCACCAGTTGAAGGAAAGGCGTTGGATGAGGCCGATTTCTCTAAAAAGCCCAAAGCCTAGCAGCCCCGGCCCCTGCCTCCTAGAGGACCACAACCCTCCTCAGCACCCAAAGACTCAGACCCTGGGAGCGCCCAGTGTGGGGGAGCGCTGGGAGCCACCTTTCAAGCTGACCCTCCCTCTCTATGGAGCCTTCTATGCATGACCTTAAACAAGTCACCGGGCCACTCTGGGTTCACCTTCCTAATCAGGTAAACCTCAGGAGGATGAAATAATGCATTTTAAAGCCCTTACACGCTGTAGGCACTCCATACATGCAACTCCCTCCCCTCCACCGAGCAGAATGGAGAGGGGACAGGAAACAGTTTCTCGGAGGGAAGGGTGGTGTGATACTCACAGGGAAAGGAGCCGTAAGCTGAGTTCTGATAAAAAGAGAAGAGAAAGTTTTTGCCCAAAGGGGGAGGGGGCAGGATGAATGGCAAAGCAATAACAGTAAAATAAACAGGACAAACAAACAAACAAACATTTATGGGGCATTCATTAAGCGAGAGGTAGGGCCCTAACTGCTTTCCTGTCCATTATCTCATTAGGTCCTCCCAACAACTCTCAGATGGGCACCATTACTATCCCTATTTTGCACATGAGGAAACTAGGTTCAGAAAGGTTATCCACCTTCCAGGTCATGACAAGAAAATGTTCCTCAGAGACCCCTTCCCTTCAACACACACACACACACACACACACACACACACACACACACACACACCATATGGAAATGCACAAAAAACTAAGACCAAGGCTTCCCAGCCTGAAGGGTGGTTTCGCAGGGCTGGGACCCAAAGAGGGGCCAGGTGCGCCCAGCTGCCCAGCCTGGGGATGGAGCCAAAGATCCAGCGCTACCCAGGCCGAGTCTGGCAGAGGGGTGTCGGGCCCGCCCTGAGCACAGGGCGGGCGGAGCTGACCGGGCACTTCTGGGCCCCATAAAGCCGGGCGAGGGGGCGAACGCTGTTTTATGGAGGCAGCCAGGCGGCCGGCCCGCTTTGATTCCCAGCGGGACTGGGCACCAGGGCCGACCTCCAAGCTCATAAATGCGCTGGCTGCGCG